GAACGAAAGCATATTATTATAAAATAAGTTCAACCCAAATTTTTGGTTAAAATGTGACCATTTTTGGTTATTCTGGTTAATTTTCATTAATTTTGTTCATAAACTTAGTATCCGTAATCGTAAGTAAATAACATTTCTAGGACTACAGTCAAAAATAATGTACCTCATTAGTCCCAAGTTTTAAAACTTCGTTAGACTATAAATTTAAATTTTTCAAAATTCGTTGACTTTGTGAAGCCAGTTTTTTTAAATGTTGAGGCATTTAATCAGGATTGATCGTAAAATGGTGCAATACTCGACAGTTTCATAATAAAAAAATTAAAACAAAAATGACATAATATTTGCTAGTGCATTTCATTCACAATCAGTTCAAATGTTTGTCCTACCCGCAAGCTCAATATGCGTAAATTACTAATAATGAAATGCATTAGCAAAAATTGTGTCAATATTAAATTTGTACATTTTTCTCAATTTCTTTATTATGAAACTACCAAGTATTTCACCATTTTACAATTCTTATTAAATACGCCAACTTTTGATGGAATTTGCCAACACGCTTTAGTGCATTTTTTTAAGGAAGAGTCTCTGAATGTGGACCAATTTTAAACAAGTTAAATTCACAGTTCAACAAATAGTATTAATTCTTGAAAACGATGCAATTATGTCATTTTTTCAGTGTGGTCCTAGGAATGTTATTTACGGTTACGGTTCCAAAACTTAAATGAACAACGTTGGTAAAAACTAACCAAATTTGGCTACATTTTCACCAAAGCTCTGAGTTGCACTTAAAAGCTCATAATCAAACTTTGTGAGTTTTTTTTTCTAATATATAAGTATGATTGAAGTGTGTGAACAGATGTACAATAAACTATAATATATTAAACAACTTAATATAATAAAATCAAACATCATAAAATCATTATTGTCAGGTACACATATATTTCCTACTATCAACATGTCATCTATTGTACATTTGCACATGCGTGCCATCTCAATCAGCAAATGAAAACTGATCTAATGAATTAACAATGATGCCTCGCTGTTCGTAGTTATTCTCATTTTTACAATGAAGTAAATTGCATAACTTTTTCCGCAAAACCATTGCGTTAAACAAATTTGAATTGCGTACGACACAACATGAGTAAAATGCATTTGTGAAAAATTTCGACTCGTTTCTATTATGACAGAACACAGAAATGATTTTTGACGCTCGTTTTATTCGTGCAGTTGTTTGCATTTATTGTCGACGTTATATAGAAGTATCATTGTATATCGCATTAATTGGTATCAACAACGAGAAAGAAACGAATTATAATAAATACCTCATTACAATGATAACGATAAGTACCTATATGAATGTGAGTTAAATTATTTTATTAAAAATAAAAATATTTTTTTACTTTACTGTAGAAAAAACCTGAAATATTTGTGACGCTAAACATGAAGAAATACTGTTGATTCTTTAGCTATAATAAGAGAAGTGCAGTGAAACTATCAAAATCGCACTTTTTAGGTCTTCTCATTTTTAAAAGAAAACTGTTGTCACATATACAATATAACTAATATATAAATGCTGACAAAATTATTTATTATTATTAAAGTTAAAGCTTAAAGCAAAGCTTAAAGATAAAATAAAAATGTTTACTACCAATATCTCAAAAAAAGTAAAGTCAGATTTTTTTTTTTAACTACAATCTTTGGAAACAGAGTTGAAAAATATATCTAATCAGCCATTGCTATAAAAAGTTAATAATATTAATAATGGATTAATAGTTATTCCAACTCTGTTGACAAATATTTTTGACGAAATACCAGATCGAGGTTGTATACTATGTTAATTCTGTAAAAAATTGTAGTTATCATTTTGTAAAAATCCTTCAAAATTAAGAATAACCCAATGGATCTGTTTACCACCTGGCTGTCCTATTTTACCCTAAGTACTATGTGACATTTTTTAAAAAATAGAACAAAGCATATTTTCTCAAAAACAGCTGCACCGATTTCAAACATTTGAAAGCCATTCGATGTATTTCGATGAGGACTAGAGTTTATCAATTTAGTGCGACGATTGGCCTAACCGTTTCTTCGTAAATAGCAAAAAAGTGAAAAAATTTTCGTACACGTTTTAGCTCGCAATTCTGAATGGATTTTGAAAATTCAAAAATCGTTCGAAAAATATTGGTTGGGAATCGACCTGATTAGTTTTTGGTAAAGATCGGCCGGGCCGTTTTCTTGCAATAAAGTGTTAAAATTTTTTTTTCGAAGATTTTAATGAATAATTTTTAATGATCGATATCATGGTCTTCTAGGCCATACTAAAATATTACGAACTTACGAGAAGTCGTTTGCAAAAAATTTGTCAAAGTTTGCAAAAATTAGTATCGTTTTTTTGGCGTTTCTTAAAATTAGACTTTTTATCGGCGTTTGCTCAAAAATGCCTGAACCTACAACAGAATTTTAAAAGCCATTTTTGATGTACGATCTTTCGAGTCGTTTCTTTGTAATTTGGAAAGCTTTATTTATTAAGCTCATATATACTACCGAATCGATTTGAATAAATCAAAAACTGTTCGAAAGATATTAGTTGGGAATGATACTGATTAGTTTTAGAAGAAAATGTACCGATTTTCTTCTACCGATTATGGAACTTTTTTTGGCCATGTATATCATGGTCTTATAGAACTTGCTAAAATATTAATGCCTTACGATAAGTAGTTTAATTTTAAAAATTTATCGAAGTTTAAGAAAACGAGTAGTTTTTTTGACATTTGTTAAAATTAAAATTATACGATTTACTTGGTATAACGATAGAGTACTTGGTCGTAATGAACATACTAAACTATTAAGGTCTTATGGAAACTGGTTCAATTATAAAAATGGTTGATTTTTGACAATTAGCTTTTAGAAAATACTTAGTGTCTGAGCTAACGTCTTCGTTTGTTTACAATTATGTGTCATAAATCCACTTGGAATACTTTTAATCACTCATAAATTAATATTTTTTTTATTCATTAAGTCGATTATTTACATATTTTGAGAAGTTCATGTAACTTGCCTCAAGGCAAAATACCAATACCAACAAATTTAATTTATTTTCATTTTATCATATTTTTTAATTACAAGCAGTAATATAAACTTACCATAAATACAGACTTTGTCTAAACATAAGACTTTTTTGAAATCTCAAAAAGCGGATAAATAATAATAATAATAATAAACCAAATAAAATACAATACAAATTGAACGCAAATATAAATTATTTTATTATCATATTAAAATTATAATTCAATTTCCGTAAACATAAATAAAGAATTTGAATTTAAATACAATTTTATTTCAATACGAAAGGTGTTGAGCTGAAGAAATTTAAAAAATTTCTCAAGGGTTACATATCTTTTGCTGTGAATTCATCCTTTGGGAAATTTCACTGGCGAAACATATTTTACGCGACAAATTTCTCTTCCACTGAACGAAAATGTTCCTTGGAGAATACGCGCTTCGACGTCGTATAGCTCTTTCGGCCTTGATGTTTCCTTTAATTATATGAATCAGAACTTTGTTGATGTTTGATTTGACAGCATAATATGATATTTGTTTAAATTATATTTACGCTTGTTTATTCTGCAGGTATTAATATTTCGTAATACATTGCTTTGACTTAAGGAGAAAATCTTACTAAAGAATTTTTTATATATTTTTTTATATTTTATTAAGAAAGATCAGACCTGACAACTCATAAATAAAAAATTAAATACAAATAATACCTTCTAAGATTAGTTATTTTATTATTATCTCTTACGCGCTACGAAAATTTTGCTATATATTGACATTTGTAAATATGCTACATATTTCTCGATTTTATTGATGATTTAATAAAACCTAATTATAATTTATATGATTAAACAAATTTAGTATTAAATCAAAACTATATCAAGCTCTGTATCAGACTGGTTACGATCGTGCCATTTTTGTTTGATCAGCAATAATTTTGTCAATTTACCAGATAGCTGATAAGATGAAAGTAAATTAAATGGTAATTTAAACATTTATCTACGTCGAAATGCCGAAATACTGTCTACAAATACGATTTATCAAATCAAATCCTACAAAAAAGAGTGACTATCACAACCGTTCACACCCTCAGGACGGTTGTGGCAGCCATAAATATAGAGTAAAAAACAATATCTTTAATCACTAAAATGGTTTATAAGGACTTCTATTGTCAGTGTGCAACACAACACAACATAATCATTGAAACAAAGCTTGCTAATATAACAATATATAATAAAAAAAAATGTTAACAAGAAATCTTTGCGAAATCTTTGGTCATCTTGTTGAATTACTGAAGTATTACTTGCTGTTATTAATCCAATTCTTCTTTTTCTTTCTCTTTCGTATTTTGTCTTAGTTAAGTAAATTTTTTCTTGGATAAGAAACACGTGTTTTTCACACCAGACAGCACGAGATGATCTATGGATCATCCCTAGACTATCCGCATGCGGACATTCTTCGTCCGCAGGACCATCCAACGGTACGTCCCGCTTGTCCAAGCCTTATCCCTGAACTGTAAATATGTCCGCCCCTAGAGATAGCCACAGGATATCCCGCGCGGGATACTCCGTCCGTAAATAGGATAGGAATAGGATAGGAATCGGACATGCATTGTACTTAATTCTGGGGCATTTTAATTCATACTTTCTAGCTAAAAATAATATTTTTACTTAAAATATAATAAGAAAGAGGTCATTTTTTGAAAAAAAGTTTATTTCTCAAAATTAGTTTATAAAATACAACTTTAATGAATTATAAATTATAAATATAATACTGCCTCAAAACTGCATTGCTTTTCTGAAACAAAACAAATAATTAAAGCTGATCAACATAAAAACAAGTACACACATTACATTTATATATATATATATATATATATATATATATATGTGTATATATATATATATGTATATATATATACACGAATGAGTCAGAGCCAATACTTAGTTGTCTGCGAAATAACACTTTGTTAGGCATGAGCACAATTTTTAAAAACTCGATAATCTGTAATTAGTAGAAGATTGGTTACATCTCACTAATAGCGAAACATATGTTCTTACAAAATACCTCTATCGATTTCTCGAGTCAGCTTGTCACAAAATTTGCACTTTCTTCTCGCTCCTGTCTGGATAATATCTTTAGTCAACTGCTCTCAAAAAATTCTGCATCTAGCATTGAAATAAATATCTTATTATTACTAATTTGTATATCAAAACTCTAATATTTGGGTATAATATAATACAAATTATTTAATAATATATATACCATTTACTTTATTCACATATAATGAAGTACCACATTTTCTCGGTACTGATATCACTTATACAACAGCTTCCTCGGTGAATGTAATCAGTCATAGGTGACGGAACTGACAAAATAAAGCATTGATTCTTACTCTGATTACATGATGAGAGTATAACGTTTGCTTATTCCTTTCATCATATTTATTCAGTCATATGGAATTCATATATTTCTTCATTGTTGTTTGCTTCATCTAACAATAAGTGCATCTCCGCTTCTGTCAGACTTCTCGACTGTGCTATAATGATTTCAATATATAATACATATATATTATAAGCATTTACATTTATTTAATTTGATTGAATAATTATGATTTATATGTAAATTTAAACTCACCATAAGAAGCCAAAATTCTGGAACTGAAGAACATTTTTTTGACACTCAGACACTTTTATTTTTTCTGCTTCTTTTATCCGTTTCCAATGGGGTCCAAAGAGCTAACTTTTTAGAAAACGTAATCCCATATCATTGAAGATATTAATGAAATCACTAAATCTTACCACGCGAAAATTTTAACCTCATTTTTACGAAAAGAAAACTCATAATTAGTAAAATGTTAACATTTTTACTATATTACAATTGAAGTTATAATATTCATACTTACAGTGCATTTATCCCGTAATATTATATATTAATTAAGATAAAAATATATTTCGGCGTCTGTGACATGTCTGTGAAAAAGCCTTACAACAATAAACTTAACCTAAAACTAAAGTGTTTGAAGGAAACACTAGCGCCGATGGTCACACAACATGAACTATTAGCAACGCGCTAAAGGGAGAGGGACATTCATCCTTCGCCGCTGTCCCATCTTGCGGATAAGCAAGTTGGTCCATGGGACCATCTTGCTTATCCCGATTTGGGAGTCCCGATGCGAACAACGCTAGGAAGTTCCGTGGGATATGCGCGATATCGCAACGGTGTAGCGGACAAGCGGGATACTCCCAGGATGGTCTCATGCTGTATGGGACATGTCACAAAATACACAAAACAAAACTAAATAGGCGGAAGTCCCCTAGTGGCGGACACCTAAGGTTGTTTATAAATAAATCAAAAAATATTTTACGAAATGTTTATTAAATTGTGATTTATGTTAGACAATAAACTTAGAAATCAAACTAAATTAACAAAACCGCAAACTTTGCTATAAAATCATTAATATTATCAATCAAACTTTGGTATCAAAAATATGATTTTAAACAGTGGCACCTAGTACCGGACATTTCAAAATAACCTGCATTGATCACATATGTAGCCATCTCAACACTTTGAAATGTCTGCACATGTGTCTTTGACGAATATTCTTAGATATTGCAAAAAAAGTCACTATTCATCTACCCTTTTGACAAGGAAATACGAAAAATGGGGGTATGTAGTGACCGTTAGCTCCCATACAGAAAAATATTAAATAATTTTAATAAATTACATAATTCTCACAAGAAATATCAATACAGTCATTTTCGTTCATTTGGTGGCACCTTCTAAAATTGGTTAAAAGATCTAATAATATTCTACCATTTTACAGATAACAATCAAGTAGAACTTTTATCTTGGCATGCCACTCAAATGTAAACACATAAATATGCTAGAATTACTTTCATTGATATTTAGGTGACGCCGTGAGTTTGCGCCTAAAACAGGAAATGTTTGCTCTCGCCGTGGCCGTGTGCGTCACAGGCGAGGCTTGGCGCGTGATCCTGTACCTGTATGCCCCTCATGCCCCTTTCACTTGCATTTTGAAATGAAAAGATTTATACTCGCTTAAATAATACGTGTTAAATAGAGTGTCCGGTTCTTGGTGCCGTCCGGCGTTACGGGACTTCCCCCTACTGGTAATTATCTGCTGATGTTCAACTTACAGTAAAATAACAAAGTTATTAAAATAAATCGAACAAAAAAATTGCTTCCGTCTCTTTAAAAGCAATGCGTTCTACTCTAACTCATTGCAATAATAGAAAATTGTTCCTTTGGACTCTATTTCAAGATCAGTATAGTTTAGCAGTTATGACGACTGTCATTAACTTACCCTGGCACAACCGTACCCAGTTACCCTATATAGGCATGACACCTCAAATATAAAGGAAGTTTTTAAACACTATCAAACTTGTAACAATCTAACACTTACTTATCTCTGTCATATTAGAATTGTTAGAATTTGTGTAATAATAAATAAATTATTAGCAATCTTCGCTGATGTAGCAGTAATTTAAAAAATGATACTGTATAATGAAAAACAGTTAATTCAACAAAAGCTACTTGACATATATCACTGATTTATTTTATGATTGTGGGTCTTAAATGTAAAGTTGTGTGTAAAAAATTAACTAAAAATGTTTAGGGAAAAACAATTTTATTAGGTGCGTGAGTATTTATTAATATATAAGCGCAACTCTTTAGGCCTAACACAAATTCAGCATTTTCCGCATAATTTTGCCGATAGACGTAGCGTATTAAATACATTTGCCACTTCATTACTCTTGGCAAAAATAACAAATCGATATAAATTGCATAAGGAAAGCTTAAATGCTACCGCAAAGTTAATTATGTTATTCCGGGCCGTAAGTTTGTACCTCTGAAGTTAATGTGGCGCATCATTAGACCGCGGCTATTTTCAAAATGATCTATTACAGAGACTATTATAAAATCTGGCAGGCGTTATTGTGCGCGGCCTGTACGCAGACGTTTAACATAAATAGCGAATTGCAACGGCGTTGACTGCTATCACAACGCATCTATCAAACTTGGCCGGCAAACGAGCGATTCGGATTCAAAGCGATGGTAATTTATGAAGCGTTTAAATTATTTGCCTAATTATATGACGGCCTCGTCGTTTCTACACACGCCCACTCGATGAGTAGTTGAATCAGGTCCTAGGCGAATGGTCGGTCGTTGGATTATTGCAAAATGTTGTTATGAAAGATATTTATCTATTGCTAAATTCAGTGAGGGTGTTAAACATGGTGGTCACATTCTGCTGAAATTGATAAATTGGACGAATGTCATTTCGATACCAAAATACCCTCACAGAAATTTTACAAACCAGTCTCACGTTAACGTCCTGTCAATTTCATTATTCTCCACACATTAGTAATTAGTAACTTCCCGTAGGGTAATATAGTAATTCTCCAAAAATTTTAAATAAAAATTATTGCATAGGTTCTTTTGTGGCGTGCCTTAAAAATTTTTGATGTGTGTGTATGTAGTATATGTATGTATGTATGGATTTGAATTATATAAAAAACATTCGATTCCTATTCTTAGGGAGATGTGCTGGAAATTAAGTGTGTGAACAGAGAACAGAGCATCCCTTCGAGAATTTACTTGTATTGACGTATAATGAAGAATTAATTACATTTTTGCAAATACAGGTCTAGCGGTTTTGGAGATCCAGAAAAAAAGTTTAAAAAAATTACATTTGGCGGTCTAAAATCTATTTGTATCTAAAAATATGTTTGACAGTCAGTTTTTGATATTAGTCAAAAAAAATCTAAAAAAAACAGATATAAATGATCTTTTATTTTTACATTATTAATTTTTTTCAAATGTTTAAGTAAGTCAAAAAGTTCTAAATTCTCAATAAAAAAATTAAATTTTCATTTCCGAGCTGTTTACAATTTTGAGTACGAAAAATTCCAGAAATTTGCATTAAAGCACGATGCCATGCACCACTTTTCTGTTTAATTTTACATGTTTTGTTTGGCTGCATACTTTTTTTTCTGGGGACCAACGTAAATTGCAAATTAATCGGCATACTGCTCTTTGCATAAATGAAGTCACTAACCAAAAAGTACTGCATATATTAAATGCGCCTTACACACTCATCTTGGTATATTGGCTCTAGCCTCATACATAAATCATTGCACATTTTAAGAGTAAAGTTATGTTATAAAAATCAATCAAATTTTCTTAAAAAGAAACATTTTTTTCTGGTCGTAGGCCAGTATCCGTAGTATATGACCGAAATTGACATCAATTAAACATAATTATAGAAAGTAAAGTTACCCCAGTGGGTATTTTATTAGATACAATTTTACTGGATCAATCAATTGGCCATAATTTTTTTAGCCTTCTTAATTCTGGTGTATGAAGCAGCAAAGCAATGAGTTAATTGGGGTGATTTCCTAATTTGTGATGATAATTACTGAATCTTGTTTTTATAAAGTCTTTATTATAAAGCACCTTCAGTTTATCATGCAGAGTTTGATTGCTCACGTACCAGGATGCACCTGTCATCATTCTAAGTAGTTATGATTGTATCCGCTGTACCAATGCATTAGATCTATTCCGTATGACCAGATAGAAATTATTACCGTTTTATAAATCAAAATAATATTTTCGAGTGTTAATTTTTAATTATGTCTTATAAGCCAAAAAAGTTCCTTAACTCTAGATTTGATTTTTGTTGTGATGTGGCGTTTTCATGCTAGTTTGCTTGTATTCAACATAAACAGCAGTTGGTATTACTTGGTGAAAAAAATGCACTCCTGAGAATGTAATCTTATTGAGTATTTAATCTAAGATATGTGCAAAATTTATACGCTGGCATAATTATTTACTCAGAACTTTGTTCCTTTAGGTTTTGTTAAGTAAAGTTCCACTACTTAAAAATCTATCTATTATATATTATATCAATATTACGATCTCAACATTACGATTAAAATAAAGCATTTGACTTTAAATGTAAATAATAGGAGAAATAAAACTATGTGTGAGATAATATTAGAAGAAAAACTTCCAAGTGAAGTCTGAAAAGTGCAGGTTTATTTAGTGGTTCAGTATCAACCGTCAACGTCGAAATCTGTATATTATTATCACGAGCGCACAAACAACAACGGCGAAACCGGAGTCAGTGGCTTTCCCCCGAAGATATTATCACAATCATAAACCGAGTGAGCTGGGAGATATCACGCATACAATATTCAGATGAGGTGCGAGTAAAACAAGCAGCGTAGCCGGCGGTAGGGCGGCCGGTGGGGCGTTCGAGCGGTCGGGCGCGTCCGGGCCAACACAGAGCCAGAGAGCCAGCCAGCCAGCCAGCCAGCGACATCGAATAGAACGGGACTAAACGATAAAGTTTCCCGCTGCTGCGGTGCCATGCGATACGAACGAAAGAGAGAAGGCGCCGATCGAGAAGAAAAGCGCACACGGAAACTTGAACTCTGTTCGTTAACTGTGTTGTAATGGTGAAAAGCTCGAGTGAGCTTTCTTCCTTAGCAAGTTGTTTGTAAAAAAGCGACGGTCGGAGACGTGATTGTACAATAACAACGCGAGGGAAAGAATAACGAATGTTCTAGTTTAAAAGTTACGTGGTCGATGGGGAAATATTTATTTGCTTGCAGGTATCTTGATATCTTCCTTATTAAATCCACATATTTTTCAAAACTTTAAAAACATGCCTTTTTTATTTTTATTGCAAAAAAAAATCGAAAAAGCTTATAAATTATAGATATTAAACTATAGA